CGCCGCCCGGCTCCGAGGGATCCCGCCGGACCTGCCCCTTCCACTGCGGCTCGCGCTGCCCTGCCTGGCGCCGGTCCCGGATCGCCGGCCTCCCACTGACACTGGACTGGGCTCTCCTGTCGACTCACTTTAACATCCCGTTCCAGGTGGACCCTAGCCTCCCTCGCGCTCCCTCCCCCGGCAGCACCTCCACCCCAGCCCCCATCCGACAGAGTCTCTCCCTTTCAGTGGCCCCGGTCGTACCTCTCTCTCTCTCTCTCTCTCTCTCTCTCTCTCTCTCTCTCTCTCTCTCGCTCTCTCTCGCTCTCCCCGCTTGGTTGTCTCACCCCCCCCATCTTTTCCTATTCCCCTTCCTTCTTGTTCTCCTCCCTAACCTTTTCCCCCTCATCTGCTAATTTCTTGCAATAGGAGTTTTATTCTTTACGAGCGTTTGCCACACAACTACCCCCCCCACCTCTCTGAAAGACTCCCTCCCCTTCCCTTCCCCCTCCAACAACCCAAAAGACAGAACAAAATACACACAAGGCAGACACAAGGCCAGAAACTTACCTGCTCTCAACCAGCTGCAAAGTCAAGGCTCACTTAAGCTCCCCCCAAAAAATCAATTGTCCTTCCTTTTTAAAGCTTTGCTCTCTCCTTGGGGAGGGAGGGGGGAACACCTTCTGGTTCCCAACTCCAGGCAGTCACTCTTTACAATTTATTTTGTCGTACATCATTTGATCACCATGAATTAGCAACAGCAAGAAAACGTAGGAGAGGGAGAAAAGAGAGAAAGAGAGAGGGAGAGAGAGAGGAGAGAGAGAGAGAGGGGGAGAGAGAGAGAGGGAGCAGAGCTTTCTGCAAGAGAAGAAGAAGAAAAAATGTACGTGTGACAAATTATGCTACCAAGAAACAACACATCATTATCCTTGGGCCTGGGGCTCAGTGAGTCGTAACGAGAGTAATAGGAAATCCACGGTTGGGGAGAGAAACGGTCGTGCTTGGCCAGTAGAGAGAGACCATACAGGGGGATGGATGCTGGAGAGACTCGCAAAATTATGGCTCAAGGCTATTGTAAAAATTGTCGAGCGTAAATGACTGCGATTTCAAACATCTTTGGAAGAAAGAAGGGGAAAAAGCGAGCCCCCCCTCCCTCCCTCTCCCTCTCTCTCCCTCTCTCTTCTCTCTCTCTATAAAGAACCGTCAAGTTTTAGTGCGCATTGCTAATTAGTCAATTTCTCTCTGCCTTCACAGGCTGGCGACTTCGCTGCTGAGCTGAAACTGCTAATTTCTGTGACCAGCTTTTTTCTTAGCTGTGATCTGGATGGATGAGTAGCTGTCTCACAGAGATGACAAAAATAAACTCTAATCCCCCCCAAAATTTCCACTACATCTTTCTCATGCATAGATTTATGATCTTCAAGCGCTCTGTGCAATATGCAAACTTTTTTTGTGCCTGTATATATGCTGTTGTTTCCAGATTTCACTACATTGGCATGCTGCTTTCCCTCCCCCCACCCCCACACTATGAAATGCAGAAACTGTCTGATCTCCAAGCAGGCTAGGATTGTCACTTTATCCTGTCTTGGTACTTGGGGTTTGGATCTTCCTTGGAAGACACTTAGCCCTTGCCTAAAAGGTGAGGATCCATGCCCGGGGTAGGGGCAGTAGCTGGTAGAGACAGAACAGAGGACAGCCCTTTGCTTTATATTTGTTTCCCTGTACTATTCAAGCTTTAGGGATCCTGTTTGGGAACATGTTTCCTCTATCATTTTGTCTGGTTAAACAAATGCCTCTGAACTTATCTGTCAGCTCTTTAACAGATAAGGGTTCAGAAGTCACTTTTTTTTCTTATTGAAAGATAATCAGATGGTCGGATTTGTATTTCAGTTAGGAGTATTTGATTTGCAGGAGCTCGAATCAAGTGTTAAGAAACCCAGCTGCAATTTCACAAATGTAGCCTTTCAACTTTGGAGTTCATCTGATATAGAAGGGCGACCAAATAGTGCTCACATATTTTGACCCTGCTTAGCATACAAAATGAACCCTAGCATGTTTCTGGAATTTTAGCTGTGCCAGAGATTCATGTGCATTTTGGTAGAGGACATGTTCTCCAGACTTATCTCATGATGTATTACGCCCTTACATTTATAGCCCTACATTTTGGTTGTCAATGGGGGTTGGAGGCTTCCAAGAAAGAAAGAAAGAAAAAATCAGAAAAAGGAAGGTATGCCCTTGAATAAAATGAATACGAAAGGAAGCGGGCCATGAGCTAGCTTGTGTTTTGTTTGCTGTTAAATATATGAATATGTTGCATTCTAAAATATATGTGCTCTGATTAGTAAACTGATTAAAATACGTATCAGAGCACTACTGAAAGACTGTCTTTTCACCTCTAACCCCACCTTCTTTAATTTGTGAGAGATGGAAAGACATCTGCTTAGGGGAGGAGGGAACTGAACATTCTGAGGTTCACAAATAGGGAGTCCCCCATTGACAATGATAAACATTAACATGCATATGGGATCTGTATGTCAAAATAAATGAAGAAGGATCAAATGGAAGTCTTTGCCACACACAAAGGCCCTTTTCGATCAAGGTTCTAGGTTATCTGAGAGTAAGACCTGATTCAGATCCTGCTGAGATGCTGCATTCTTATATTTATAATAGAGAAGCCCAAATACATGATAAAATAATAGAAAGTGGCTTTTTTTTGGTTTGTTTTAGGGCAGCAGGAAGAAAAAGAACAGATTATCCATATCTTCTGGTCCTACTATTTGTTTCTATTTTTAATTTTCCTTATTTGGGTGTTGAACAGGAAGATCATGTGATTGAAAGAGTGCCTTTTTAGGGTTGTATGTCACCAACAATTAAAGCTATTAAGTATGTAGAGTGTCATCAAACTCTCATACATGCCAAGTGCAATTATCATATTATGCTTTTGAGGCCGCTCTTTCATGAACTTTCAGTGAGGCATTTGGAGCCAAGCCCAAAGGTGACTAATAGTACTGATCACTCAAGTTCTTGCCACCTTCCCATTTTATCATAAAAGGAATTAAAGTATGTGTGAAGGCCTAGTTAGTTTAGTTTAGTTTCAAATTCATGTATGTATAGTTATATCTGTGTGGATGTATATAATTTTACTGATAGGATATATTGACTACTAATTATGATTACCAGCTCTTTATTGCTTCCAAACAACATGAAAGTCACATTTCCAAAATTATACCTATCTGCAATTCGAATACTTAATTAATAACTAGGGTGGAAGGGGAAGAGAATGAGGTTGGGAGCTTGCAGTTTGAAAACAGCTGTTGAAATGAAGAGGATAAGGCTGTTTTCTTCTGCATTTTAAAGTTACCTTATTTGATAATGTTTAAAATTTCAGAGACAATTACAATTATGTTTATTTTGCAAGCAATTAAAAAAAAAGAATATTGATAACAAAAAGCCCCTTTGTAATCTGTGCGGAAGCTGGCATCTATGTCGTGTAAATCTCACACCTCCAATATCTTGTGCTGGCTTTGATTGAAATTATTGCAGAACTCACAAATGATATGACACTATTTACAATAAATCCCGTTATGAAAGATTCAATTTGCAGCAATCAGATGCTAGCTACTAAGCGATTGTAAGTATTTGAATTTTATCCTACTTCACTGTTCAACGTACAGAAATTGCATCT